CTCCGTACGACGAAAAGGAGACTATGACCTACTATGTCAAAGTCCAAATACACTCAACCAGTTCTTGAACATAGCTTTCCAAAATACTTGGTTTTATTCACCTTTGAAAGCAACACATGTAGGAATAAACTTGTTGCCTGTTTCTATCTATACACATAAAAGGGGAAAGTGCTTCTGCTGATGCATAAACCTCAGGCATGTTCAAAGTGGTTTCGTTGAGGAGAAGCTCACCATGAGCCGGCACCGTGCGCTGGCAGCCCAGAAAGCCAACTGTGTCCTGGGCTGCATCCAAAGCAGCGTGGGCAGCAGGGCGAGGGAGGGGATTCTGCCCCTCTGCTCTGCTCTCCTGAGACCCCCCTGCAGTGCTGCCTTCAGCTCTGGGGTCCCCAACACAGGAAGGACATGGAGCTGCTGGAGCGGGTCCAGAGGAGGCCACAGAGATGATCCGAGGGCTGGAGCACCTCTGCTATGGAGACAGGCTGAGAGAGTTGGGGCTGTTCAGCCTGGAGAAGAGAAGGCTCCGGGGAGACCTTCCAGCACCTTCCAGTACCTAAAGCAGCTACAAGAAAAGAGAAGCTGTGGCTGCCCCATCCCTGGAAGTGTTCAAGGCCAGGTTGGATGGGGCTTTGAGCAACCTGGTCGAGGGGCAGGTGTCCCTGCCCATGGCAGGGGGGGCTGGAACAAGATGATCTTGAAGGTGCCTTCCCACCCAAACCATTCTATGATTTAATAGGAAAGCACCATTTAATTTTTGTACTTTACCGTGGAAAATGGTAAGCCTCATCATGCAGATATTAAGCTTTGTATCTGCTTAAATATATTTTCTCCTGGTTATCAGATGCACAGGTTCCAAATTTAGCCCAGCTCTTGGTTTTGATTGCAGTCAACATGTCTTAAGGAGTCTCATGCAGTAAGGATCAAGCACTCCAGGGAATAAAAAAATCCTATTAATGCAAAACTAAATTAAAAATAATTATTTAAATCAAGGCTTCCTGCTTTTCCACGCTGGTCCTCCGCACAAGATTTCTATGTAGGTAGCTGCATGGTTTTGTAGCTTATTTGAAACACAAAACCATGTCACCCCCTGACGAGGGCGAACTCCCCCAGACACGCGTGTGGGGCAGGGGAAGACAAGCAGATTCGTGATTGCAATTACTATGGTACGTCAAGATTAATTAGCCTCTTGAGCCATAGTAAGCACCACCTGAGAGAAAAGTTTTGGGTTTTTTTTTAAAATTAAGAGAACATTCAGAGGGTGACTTGATAAAACTGCGCATGGGAGAGACACCTTTCTCAAGTCCTATGAGGACAGGCTGAAAGAGTTGGGGCTGTTCAGCCTGGAGAAGAGGAGGCTCCGGGGTGACCTTATAGCAGTCTTCCAGTACCTCAAGGGGGCCTACAAGAAAGATGGGGAGAGGCTGTTCAGGAGGGCCAGTTGTGATAGGACAAGGGGTAATGGTTTTAAAATAGAGGGAGGTAGATTCAGGTTGGATATTAGGAAAAAATTTTTTACCATGAGAGTTGTAGAACACTGGAACAGGTTGCCCAGAGAGGTGGTGGATGCTCCATCCCTGCAGACGTTCAAGGCCAGGTTGGACGAGGCCCTGAGCAACCTGATCTAGTTGGAGATATCCCTGTTCCTTGCAGGGGGGTTGGACTAGATGACCTTTGAAGGTCCCTTCCAGCCCTAACCATTCTATGATTCTATGATTCTAAGTTAAGAGACTGCTCTGTCAAAGTCTTTGGTATCAATTCTCCTCTTTATCCAGCATTCCCTCACACGGTTATTTACCGGCTTTGCTCGGAATTAACTCCCTGTAAGCAAAGATCCAGCATGAACGACATGAAACGCTCGTTTTCTCTTCCTCCTTGTGGGCACTATGAACGGGAACAGATGGAAATCACTGCCTCCTGGAACAACACACAGCTGAACACAGAACTACATCCTCACCGGTAACACCGCTTTGAGCACTGATTTCCACAGATAATTGTTTCCATCAGCACCTCTTCAAAAGAAGAGTGAAGGACAACAAAACATATCTCTCATGACCAATGAAACAGCAAAGCAAGAGGAACAAAGAGCGTTTTAAAAAGCAACTTTGTTTTGTCTCAACTTTTTAGACACGTGGGTGCATCACCAGCAGGCACAAAAGCCAACTCCTCTGGGACCGCGCGTCTTGCCGGTGTTCTTCTTCCAAGCGGTGTGGTCAGGCTGTCTGCCCGCCCCATTCTTGCCAGGCTGTGAAACGTTGATTTCTCACGGTGAGATGGCATCTTTCCCAACCTCCAAACCCCTCCACTGCGCACAGGGCAATAGGATTCGGTTTGATTTAGAATCACAGAATCAGAGAACGGTTTGGGTTGGAAAAGACCTCAAAGATCATCCAGTTCCAACCCCCCTGCCATGGGCAGGGACACCCTCCTCTACACCAGGTTGCCCAAAGCCCCATCCAACCTGGCCGTGAACACTTCCAGGGATGGGGCAGCCACAGCTTCTCTGGGCAACCTGTTCCAGTGCCTCACCACCCTCAGAGAGAAGAAATTCTTCCTTAGATCCAATCTAAATCTCCCCTCTTTCAGTTTAAAGCCATTGCCCCTTGTCCTGTCACTACACACCCTTGTCCAAAGCCCCTCTCCAGCTTTCCTGTAGCCCCTTTAGGTACTGGAAGGCTGCAATAAGATCACCCCGGAGCCTTCTCTTCTCCAGGCTGAACAGCCCCAACTCTCCCAGCCTGTCTCCATAGCAGAGGTGCTCCAGCCCTCGGATCATCTTTGTGGCCTCCTCTGGACTCCCTCCTCCTTTCTGTCAAGACCAAATTTAACAGATGTTTCTTTCCGCCTCTGCCCAAGACATTTACCACGTCGTATCAGACTATTGCAGGCGTCAAGTTCTGTGTTTTGCCCAGACCAGCCCAAGGAGGTAACTCTGCTCACCAAACACGTCATCATCAGCCGCTTCTCCTGTCCCCTACGGCTCCTGCTATGGCTGGGATATAGAGGGCAGCGGGTGCGAGAGGTAATTAAATTTGTGTTACCTCAGTTTTATTTCCTTGTTTTCAGAAGCTGAAATATCAGAGAAGCTGACGTTTGCTGGAAAGCTGCGAGTTGGCTATGTTTTGGAGGAGTGTTACATTAAACCATCTGACAGGACTGCCAGAATTCCGACTACTACGGCTCCTGCTATGGCTGGGATATAGAGGGCAGCGGGTGCGAGAGGTAATTAAATTTGTGTTACCTCAGTTTTATTTCCTTGTTTTCAGAAGCTGAAATATCAGAGAAGCTGACGTTTGCTGGAAAGCTGCGAGTTGGCTATGTTTTGGAGGAGTGTTACATTAAACCATCTGACAGGACTGCCAGAATTCCGACTATCTGGTGCTATTGCCGACTGTACGCTGGTGAAAGATCCAGGGAGCACCAGCCAAAGAGAGAAATAAGTGAACATACAGCACACGATATTCGTCCTGGAGGCGAACATTTTGGAAAACAAGAAGGTGATTGGCAACAGCCAATGTGGCTTCACTAGGGGCAAATCCTGCCTGACAAGTCTGGTGGCCTTCTACAACGGGGTTGCAGCATTGGTCAATAAAGGAAGAGCAACTGACATTGTCTTCCCAGACTTGTGCAAAGTGTTTGACACTGTCCCACACAACATCCTTGTCTCTAAACTGGAGAGACATGGTTTTGATGGATGGACCACTCGGTGGATAAGGAACTGACCGGATGGACGCACTCGAAGAGTTGTGGTCAACAGTTCAATGTCCAAGTGGAGGCCAGTGACGAGTGGTGTTCCTCAGGGGTCAGAACTGGGGCCAGTGCTATTTAACATCTTTGTTGGTGACATGGGCATGGTGACTGCACACAGTCTGATTTTGCACATCCTTCTGTGCTGCGTGTTTATCTGGACACGAAATATATTCTAGTACAACACAGAATAGAGACCTCAGCTGGGATCTCGACATCCCAGAGCAAAAGACCAAAACAATCCCCAAAAACCAACCAGCCCACAAACACAGAAGAAAAGGGAATCTAGGTGTATGTAGAACTCACCACGATCTCTTTATTGAGAAAATTCAACATTCATTCAGGGTCTTTTGCTCATTAAATTGTGATTTTAACACCGACAGGGTACAAAAGGAGGTGTTTTTAGATTAGTTGTTAGGTTAAGTGCAGATACAAACTCATGGAAGAAAAAGTTTTGATTACTTGCAGAGTTGATATTTATCACAATAATTCTACTCTGGAACTTATTACACTAATAGCTCATTGAAAGCAATCTTCTATAATAAAAGCTGTGACCAGTTTGACCAGCATTTTCAAAGTGAAAGTCAACATTTTCACTTGGAAAACCCCACTGGCTCTACTGCTTCAGCCTAATGGGTTGGTCTGAGAGAAAAATCTGGCTGGATGATGGAGCACGAAAACCACATGGCTAAGAACTACTGATCATGAGTCTGGAAATGTTTAAACCACCTCAGATCTTCCTGTTCAAGCGATGCAGGAAACTCCAAAACATACAGTTAGGATAAGAAAAAAAGAATGAGAAAACTGGAAATTGGTTTGAGACTGAAAAAAAATAATAATTGAATGCTTCCTTCAAGTAGCTACAGAGTCTTAAACACAGCCTCCAGCCCATAAACACAAAAGGAACATTATGAACATGCAGAGAGCTTAACTTTCAAGTGAAAATGTGATTAAAACCACCTGTGACCGCAGGTGTGCCAATCGCGCATCCAGTTTACATCTGTAATTTACCAGGAGACAGTAGTTCCTCTCAAGTTTCCAAAACAAAACTCAAATACTTCAAGGTCGTTTGATATTGCCACTCCGAATTCAGGACAGATGTCTCAAAAACACTTCTTGGTCCGAACTACCACCTTTTAGGAAAAAAGAGAGCTGAGGAATGCCCACACATAGAACCTCTCTGCAGACAACAGAATCTTTCTGCACCTCAAAACCCTTCTGCCACCTGCACCTTGGGTAAGCAGAATCCAGAAAGCTCGTTAGCAGATGACGTAGCGGACAAGGTTTGAGCCACGAACTTCTCTCAATCTCTGGCAGTGGCGCAGGATATTGAGGATCGTATGGAAGCGCTTATCCATTTTCAGATTAGCGAACTCTTCGATATCAGCCTCCACAACAAAAAATTCACCTGGAAAACAAATGACAACTTTGCTGTAGAAATGACTATGTTGTAGGATACACGTGTTTCACAACAACACAACCTCTTTGTAATGATTCCGCACACAGATGGAAAAATACAATCAGCAGTAGGACGGCCTCAAACCATCTCAGGATCTTTGCTCTACTTTCTGAACTTGTCACCTGAAAGAAGAATCACCCACCTTCCCATCAAGTTCAACTACCCTGCGTTGTCCACAGGCCCCATTCGGTGAGCTCCATCCTCTGTCAGTTGTATTTGCTAACATCTCTCAAACCATCTATGCTCCTCTATCAGGGCATACAGCCTGCAGCAGTCCCAAACACCACCCAGGGCCAGGTATGAGACGTTCCACGGATGTACCAGAAGATAAGGATAGTAGAAAGTCAATTGACAGCACACCCTGAAGAGTCGTGATGCCTAACAGCAAACTCCTCTTTGAGGCCTTGTATCCTGGTGTCAGCTGGGACAGAGTTAGTTTCTTTTTAGCAGCTAGAATAGCGCCGTGCTTTGGATTTAGCCTGGGATTTGTTATGAGAAGAATGGTGATAACACTGATGTTTATAGCTGGTGCTGAGACATCAGGGACTTTTCAGCTTCCCATGTTTTGCCAGTACACACTGGCCAGGAGCACAACAGGCTGGGGGGAGCAAGGCCAGGACAAAGGGCTCACAACTCCTAGCCTAGGATTTGAGCTTAGATTTAGGATCGAGAGCCAAATTGGCCAATGGAATATTCCATACCATGCAACATCACGCCCAGTATATAGATGAGGGTTGGCTGGGAACTTAGATTCTCAGGTGCTATCTCCCTCTTGCTCTCTTTGGATCTCTCTCTTTGGGGCTCTCACTCTTCTGGGATTGCAGTTTCAGGACATCTCTGTTTCGGGATGGCTAGCTGGGACGAGTTGGGCGTTGGTCACCAGGTGATGAGCAGTTACGCTGTGCATCACTTGTTTGTATTTATTCTTATCATTTTTATTACTTTTAATTGTATTTTATTTCAGTTATTGAATTGTTCTTATCTCAACCCACAGGTCTCCTTTTCCCTTTTGATTCTCTTCCTCGTTTCCCAGGCGTGGGGGAGGGTGAGCGAGCTGCTGCGTGGTGTTTAGTGGCCAGCCAGGTTAAACCAGGACACCTTGTCCATAGGTCTTCTGCTCTCAGCGACACTCAAAGCACTGACCTCAGCAAAACCAAAAAGAGATGCTCAGGGTCTGCTTAAAGACCATAGCACAGCTTTACAAAGAAAGGTATCACACTTCAGTGTTTCCATCACGGAACACAATGATGCTGAGTAGCAGCATCATTGGAATTCCAAGGAATTGCTCCACAACGTCTGAAATCACCTGTGGCCTGATGATGTTCTCTCAGCAGGCACTCAATTTCTGGAATCGGCCCTTTGCGAATAAAAGGAAGGAACTCTGCATACATCAGAGCTATGCAGCCCACCATTCCCTTGACTTCCATCAGAAATTGGAAAAGAACAGTCCTTTGTTAACTAAAAAAATGCAAGAAAAGACTAACCAGTTGCAATAGCATCCTCCCCCTGTTTCTAAGAAAATGGCACAGGAAGGCCTTGCATCAGAGCTGGCAGCCCATCCCTTCTTGTAGTCGATTAACTGCTTCTAAAAGGAAATTCTCATTATCAAGTGCTCGTAAGAAACCTAGGCCTTGACGGGAGTTAAAGTGTTTAAAATGCCTGCAGCAGAACCCCAAGAGATAGTCCCCACAAGCATTAGAGGTGCAGTAGTGCCCCCTAATAGTAGGCACGAGGAAGGAAGGAGTTATTCAGGCATTCCATAGCTATATTCACTAGCTGTGATTTCATACTCGGTCTTTACACAACGCTCAGATAGGAGATAACCACAGATCTAGTAAAATGACTGTACAGTCAATACTTCCTGTAACATGGCGTAAGGTTTTAACCACACCCCTTCACAAAACCCTGAGAAAGAAAAGCGATCTGAAACCAGGAACATGCTGATTAAAGTATAAGAAAGAAATATCCCATTATCTTCAAGAAGAGGAAGCAGAAGGAAATAACATTCTTCTGCAGTATTGTGCTTCCAGGTCTTACAAGAAAGAAGTCACAAGGCTAGGGGTGTTCTAGCTTGGAAAAAACAGGATAGCCTTCTCCCTCCTTCTTTTACCCTTGAAGAAAGGCAGAGGCAGCATCATCTTAGATAACATGGGGCATCTTTTCTTTCTATTAAGTTACTGGAGAGTCCTTCCAGTTTCGCTGAGGAGAAGGTAGCTGATGCTATCTGGCAAGCTCTAGATGCCAGGAAAGCTTTTATTTATTTATTAACCAAGTGCAACGTAGGTTTACACAGTCAAATCTGAGCATTTAATCTTTAAATTTCATCTTACGAGTGATCTAACGGGACACAAAGTCTGCTCTGAAGGAGCAGCCAAGGATGTTACAACCATTAGAACTGAGGTCTCAGAGTGCCACCTACAAGCACAGCGTTCCCCAAAATATTGCTCAGCCAGAGCTGAAGAATAACAGGTCGTGTTCTCTCACAGACTGGGCTGTTTCGAGAGTTGGTGACACAGATGACTAATAGGAAGTAGAATCTTCCACAGACAGTAACTGTCAAAAGCTGTAGGTCTTCCTCCAGATGGGAACTATGCTGGAATCTCAGTGGAGCTTGCAACAATGCCAAATTCATGTGCAGATAAGAAGTGGAAAGTTTGTTTACTAGGAAAAGAAAAAAACCTGCATAGCTGCTTAAAATACAACTACAGCTGTATATTTGCAATATTATAATATTGTATATTACCATTTGCAATTTCCAGTGATATGGCAATACCCCTAAACAGTGTCAGGAACCCAGCGATAATCCACATATTGGTTTCACAGCCTGTTATATCTGGGGGAGCATCAGACTGTCCTGAATCTGTGCAGAATACAATTTCTCATATTTGCCCAGAATTCAAGGCAGCAATGTTCACCATAGTAGGATCTTTTTTATGAAGAAACCAGAACTGGACCAAAAGGGCGGTGGTTTAGTTGGAAACAGTAGGTCCAGGCACTAAATAACTCACTAAAATGACTGAATCATCTTACTGGCTGGAAGGTTACCCTGATAAACCAGGCAGCATCTTTTCTCATCTTGAAATCAGAGGAAGAGGTCAGCTGGCAATCAGCCCAGGCTGAGAAACCGTGGGAATCCTCAGCAGAGAGACAGCTCACAGGAGAAATTTAAGCAAACAAATCAATGAATGCACAACCTCATCCTGAAAAATGCAATGGATAAAGACATTTAATCATTTTGTGCTGGCCAGATAAGAACCATCTGACAGCCTGCCAGACCTTTTCTCTAGGCTTTCTAGAAGATTAGTCACAACAAGCAAAAACAAAACAAAAA